TTTGAGCTGCAGACATGCATCTATTGTATGTTTACCTGAATAGAAAAGACAAAGCCTTATTTCCAGCTTGGAAGTTGCTATCTTTAGGTGACTTGGAAGTGTAGTGAATGTTTGTTATACTGGTCAGTTCTTCCTACAGGGCTTTGTGAGACTATGGCGGGTGGACATGCTCACCCGGCAGAACATTTTAAAGTTAAATACATCAATCTGATGCACTTTGAGTGCAAAATAAAGAGGCTATGAAGAACTTTGTGCTCTTGTAAATTGTTTGTGCTTTTGTTCTAGCAGTGGTGGAATGTAATTCAGTACATTTAGGCTACAAAAGTAATGTACTTGAGTACAAAGTACTTGTAACCTATTTTATCTGCTTATTTCAAATTTTATGTAACTTTTTTTATTTATTTATTAGGAAACTGGTTGAACAAAATAGACTTTGGCGGGTGTTCAACTGGATCTTCCTTCAAAGACTTTGAAGTTATTTTGGGGCAAAGAGGAATGATGCTGTCACATAAAAAGAGAGACAGTAATGACATTTTGTCTCTGTAAGATGCTGTAGAGTTGTAATTCATGTGATTGGGTTTCCTTAAAAGTTCCTCCCTCTGTTACGTTCTCGCATAAGATGCTTGGCCAAACCGCGAGTCATCATGTTGTTTTTGAACTGAATGGTGTGCTGGTTTAGGCTCTCCTTTAGCCAAGTGGTGCAGTGAGTAACTGTAATAAAGTCATTCCTCTGCATGCACACTTTGTGCATTTGTAGTGCTCCTGTACACTTTTTAGAGATTCCATAGTTTTTTTGCATTTCCTCAATATTCATTAATTGATTTTGTATAGCCGAAAATGACAAATTACAAATTTGCCTCACAGGGCTTTACAATCTGTACACATACGACATCCTCTGTCCCGGAACAGGAATAGCTCCCCCAAAAAAAAACTTTAACAGGGAGAAAAGAGGAAGAGACCTTAGGGAGAGCAACAGAGGAGGGATCCCTCTCCCAGGATGGACAGAAGTGTGATAGATGTCATGTTTACAGAATGAACAGCATAACAGAGTTATAACACATTCAATGCATATGACAGAACCACAGCAGGAGGCAAGACCATGGTCCAGGTACAACCAGGATCCACAGAAACCTGCGAGGAGAGAAAGCACAAAGACTCCGGGGAAGAAGCAAAGTTATTAATGAGCATTAATACATGAATTCATACAGACAGAGATGAAGAAGAGGAGAGATGAGCTCAGTGTATCCTAGGAAGTCCCCCGGTAGTCTAAGCCTATACCAGTGTAGGGGCTGGTCCAAGGCAAACCTGAGCCAGCCCTAACTATAAGCACTATCAAAAAGGAAAGTCTTAAGCCTACTCTTAAATGTGGTGAGTGTGTCTGCCCCCCGGACTGAAACGGGAAGCTGTTCCACAAAAGAGGAGCTTGATACAACTTGGATTGTAGCTCCAAAGTTTCCCCTTTTTTTACTTTGTTGCTCCATCTGCTTATTGAGTTCCTGCTTTTCCTCATCCAATGCAAGCTTGTCCTTTAGTGGAGTTAGTTGTGCCATCAAAGATGCCTTCTCTGCTTCTGCACAGATGCAAGCAGAGGCGGTCACTTAATTAATCACAATCCCAGTAAGGTGTGTAACAGCGCATTCCGTTTTTTGCTAGGCAACGAGAGGTTCTTAGTCACTGATGATGAAAAGTGCAGGCTGGGGGAAACCGCCAGAGCCAGTGTTTTTGATTAATACCAGTGGTGGAAGAAGTACTGAGGTCTCTTACTTAAATAAAAGTTTTCAAGTAAAAGTCCTGCAAGTATGTATAATCAAGAAAATGTACCTAAAGCTATAAAAGTGAAAGTACTCACTATGCAGTCAAATGGGTTATTTTGTTGTTACATTATTATATATAATGATAGATTAATATTGATGCATTGATGTTGTAGCTTGCTGCAATAGAGCTATTTCTTATACACTTGGGTGGTTTCATTCATTGTATAGCAATGCATTCATTTCATATACTCATTATAGTGTTTTAAAATCTTCATCTGCAAAATAACTAGTAAATAAAGTAATCAGATAGAGCGGATCTATCACTGTAAATCCTGAAGGATCAGTGTATGAATGGGTTTGAATGGTAAAAAGCGTTTTGAGTGGTCTGAAGACTAAAAAGTTAAATTATCATCAATATACCATGCCTTACCAAAAAGGGGTGTGACCAATCATGTGCTACCAGTGGAAAAGTTAGTCCGGAGCCCTGCCTAAGGGAAGATCATCTCGTTTGCAGAATGAATAGAATTATAAATAGAATGGACATTTTATTGAGTGTAATGGAAAGCATTACAAATCCTTGTTTATCTTGTTTAGCTATCCCTTAAAGAGAAAGTTTTGTCCTTTGTTGATGTCAGCAGTTGTCTTGTCATGTCCTACGTCGGTACTTCCAGTCATCTTGACTTGGACAGGTGATGGATGGCCACCATGATTCTCTCTCATCCTGCTATAGCAGTTCTAGATAACAAATAATCAGCTCACAGAGATACAGCCAGCTTGTTGAACCCTGTGAAATGCAGTCTAGACTTTTTCGAGACGATTTTTTTGTCTCTGGCAGCAATTTAATTGTATTCGCTCAATAAGTACACAAATGTACATGTAATTCTCAATCAAGATAGATCCATATCCTCAGCATTGGATTGATGGCTTTACCACACAAACAGATCTGCAGCACCTTGCTTTTATTGAAAACCTTTCCAGGATCACATACTGTACTGTTGGTGAAGATGCTAAAGATGGTGATAGCTGATGGTAGCTGCTAACTGGTTACAAATGTCTATGTGTATTTAGCCGGACTAATTCTCATCAAACATCCTGATGCATGTATGAAATTAAAACAGGAAACCGACATAGACCTACACTGCAACCTTTGGCAAAAGCTGTCGAACAAATAGTTAGTATGCATTACTAAATATTCTGTACACAATTGTACCCACACATAAAAAAATATTAACAATGATTTATTTATATTGTTGTAAGAGATACTGTACTGTGCCTCTGTCTTATGATTTAATATGAACATGCTAAGTAAATATTGCTCATTGCTGAATCTAATTTAAATAAATAGGACAATCTGTCCATAACAATTTTTCATTTTATTTTTTTCCTCTCTAAGACTTCATGAGACTACAGCCCAGTTGATGCTTTGCTGCTTGTAGCGATCATAATTATTACTGTGAGATAAAGTCAAGTCAGTATTATTTTGACAGCCCAGAATTAAAATGTATCACTGAGGGCGTTACAATCTGTTCAACATACAACACCCTGAATCCTTGATACAAAGAAGAAAGAAAGTGAGAGGAGAAACCTCAGCAAGAGCAACAGGAGAGGGAACTGTCCCCCAGGATGGATGTACATGCAGAGGTTGTACAGTAGACAGAAGTGGAAGGAGTAGAAGTCCTACATCAAGCAAGAAAGAGATATGGTACAGAGTCAATATTAAGCTGAATGAGAATAAGAATTTCTGGCAAAAGTGGAAATAGAAACAACATGGATATGACAGATAAATCATACTCATGTTCTGGGCAGCGTGCATGTTGGTTCAGCTGACCTGTTTCCTCCCACAGACAGTCTGCTCACAGTGAACTGAGATCTATGAAATGAAGGTGTGTTTGCATGTGTGAGAGAGATGTAAGACAGACAGGGACATATTGGACTCACTATCCTCACATGACCCTGAAGAGGGAAACAATGAGAGAAGATTAGTTACATGATTACAATGTGTCGATTTGAATTTCACAGAACACAATCTGTTGTTTCCTTTCATTCAATGTTTCATCCATTGTTTAATTTAATCAAATACAATTATTTTAAATATTTTTACTGTTGAATTGAAAATAGCATTATCTTCAAATACCACAAAACTGCACTGTTTCCGCTAAAATGAAAGTATTTCATCACAGATCGAAGGGTAAAGAACAAAAAGGGGAGGAAAACAATTCAAGCAAACATGGGGAATTGAACTAGTTCTGAGACATATAATTAACAATGTTTTAACATTACTAGTTGCCAGTTAACCAACCTGAAAATATTAGATTGGGATAAATGGTATTAATTTGAATATTATTAGAAGCATTAACATTACATTTAAACGATAAATTCACATGTTTACAATTAGTCTTTTATAGGCATTTTATGATGACTTCATATCTTCATCATCACAGCTTAGGGGAAATGTGCATACACTGTTTATTTATGTAGATAATAATGCATGTCAGTGTGAATATATTTCATCGACATTGTATAATGCACACATCACTTTCTATGTACATTTGACCCATTTTGACATAATGTGTGTCTTTTTTGTATATATTGATTTGTTTTTCACATTGTACATTTACATTCCAATATGCCTTTTTGTAACGGGTTTTACTGGGAGGGTTCAGTGCTGCTGTGGTACTTTCCCAGCTTGTCTTCGTCAGTGTCCTGATCAGTAGATGGCGCTACAGAGCTGCTGTCAGGGCGGGCTCTGTATTACTGTCCCATTAAACACACACACACATACATGCAGTGTCATATGATGCACTCATATTTAGTTTAGGAGCACGTATACATACTGTGCAAAGTTTGAGAGCATAATGTTAAACAGTGTCACTGTTGATTTATGAACCTGTGTGTGTGTGTGTGTGTGTGTGTGTGTGTGTGTGTGTGTGAGAGAGGTGGCTCTTCAACAATGTGTCACCGATGGCTAGATACAACGAGTTACGAAGGTTGCACGCTCTCTTCATAATGCTGTTTTATTTTATTTTCAGCAGATTTTTCAGACCTCGGAATCATCATTTTCTGATGACAAATCAGGTTTTCTTACAACGCCAGCAGTCATTTTGTCAAGAAATAAAATGACATACAATGAAAAAATCATCAATATCTGGTTGAATTTTTATGTTTTAGCATTTTAAATTTTCCAGGAAATTCTTTCCTTGAAAGACGAGTGGCATTAAGTGACTCCTTCTCTCTCTTTCCCTTCAGCTTCCTCCATCTTTCAATCTGTTGCTGAAGTGCAGGAGTGGAAAACAGCTCATGTAAGTCAACTTAATCTTATTCCTCCCTCTTTTCCTCCTCATTCCATTTCCTCTCTCCTCTCCCTCTTTGCTTCCATTTCCTTCTCGGTACTATTTTCTTCCTTCCTCTCTCCTCCCCTTTCCTCGCTGTTGTTCCTCGCTTCCATCATTTTTTCCACAATCTCTTATTCTCTCATTCCATGTGTTCTTCATTCTCTCCTTTCTCCTCAACCCTGTTTTCTTCTTTCTTTTATTCCCTTCTCCCTGTCATCCCTCCTTCCTCTACTGCAATCTTATTTTTTATTTTCTTTCTTTCTTTCTTTCTTTCTTTCATCTCCATCTTTTTTTCGTCCTCCCCGCCTTTGTTCACACCCCCCGATTTTTTTTCATCTTACTGCTATCCCATAATCCAAAGCTCCACAGAGGGGTCCGGCTCCCTACCCGCTTTCCCCACCCTCCTATTGAGGCTATCAAGGAGGGTGTGTATTTCTGAGTGTGTGTGTGCGCGTTTGTGTGATACACTGTGTTGTAGCCAGTGTGTGTGTGTTTTCATGCCCAGGGATCCAGCAGTGTATATCATTGTTGTTTAGTAAGAGACAATGTCATGACTACTACCCTCTGAGATGTGTGTGTGTGTTGTGTGTGTGTGATACAGTTTATGTGTGTGTAAGGATAGTTTGAGATGTGTGTAGTAGGGCCCGACCGATACTGGATTTTTAGAATAGATGTCGATATTATATATATATATATATAGATATATATTTAGATTAATCGGCCAATGTTCTTATATTCTTTTATATATCCTCTGTGTGAGTGTGTGTGTGTGTGTGTATAAATAAAGATAGAGGCACTACATTTCACAGTTTAACAATAACCTCCTTTGTCCAAATAACATCATTGTACTGAAACATTAAACCTTATTGGGAATTCAATAAGCCGTGCCTGAGCCGAGAAGACATCGCATGACTTGGCATTCTATCAGTGCTGAGAGTATTGCTTCGATACGGAAGGCCCATATTTCCCATCATGCCTGCCTGGTGCCTGGTGCCTATGCTTGACTGAGTAGTTTTTTAGCAGTCAAAATCTGTCAAAATCTGTTTCTGAACAAATTTGAGGTGAGAAATTGCCATTGAGTCACTGAATTTTCACTCCTATTGGATCTGCAAGGCCTAATGTATAAGTTTGTTAAGACTTTCATTGTGCAATGACAGACTCTTAAAGCAAGCTCTTAATGGCACTGAGGCCGGGGACGGCAGCATATTATCACATATAACTTTACTTTGTCCAAATCAGATTTGGCAAATCATTGCTGATTGTTTTATTTTGTTTCCGTTGTTTGAATTAGGTGTGTTTTAAAACCAGTGAGGTCAAATTGCTGTTTTTTAATTGAGTCAGGTGGCTTTAAGGAGAGCATAGCAACTGTATGTTTTGTCAGTTTATAAATTATGATTGTAAAAATCCCTGTTGATTTTATTTATGTTTTAATAGGCCTACATGTTTTGAATCTGTGTATGTTGTTTTGAGGAAGGCAAAATCAATATTCCAAAAAATTAATTGCAATGTACTGAAATATTCTAAATAATGTAAAAGTAGAACACCTCCATTTCTTTTGTAGACCAGCACACTCACTAGGCTGAGTGCTCTCTGAATGCTAGGAAGGAGTCTTGCCTTGCCTCTGTAGGACCCCACTTGGAAGGACCCATCCTACCAAGGAAGCATCCTTAACTTTGAGAAACACCACGAGTATTTCCGATTGCTCACACATGCAACAGATGAGACTCAGAGAGTTACCAGAAACACACCTCAGAATTGTAACATCATCCCAAATCTCTGGGGCTGTCTGAAACCAGTCCTGATTAACCTTCCAATGCTCTGTATTGACTTTCCATCTTTCAATGTCCGTTGTCAGTGTGAATTCTAATCTATGGCCTAAAAATCTCAATGCAACAAAAGAGTAGTGTCTGCTAACATTCTCACTGCAGTCATATTCGCTACATCATTTATTGATGATGTAAAATGATAAGTGTCTTAGATCTAAATGTGCTGCTCCCTGTAGACTACAGAGTTTAGATTTGGGAAATGTGAATGAAAAAGGGGTTTTGGACACAGTCTGGGTATAAAGAGGGGTATTTCTTTTAACCATTTGTAATTTCTGATCCGTCCCAAATATATTAAAATATTTAGTTTTCATTTCTTTGCGGTGTTGTGTTTTTTTTCCCTAGCCGTACTTACTTATTTGATCAAACCCATGGCTACCTAAATGGGTGCACACTGAAACATGCACACTAATGTTGTATTCATCTACGCAAAGTAGGGGTGTATATGTGTGTATCGCTGTGTTTTGTTCTACTTCTGTGTGTGTGAGGAACAGTGGGGGATGCATGTAGGGTGTGTGTGTGTGTGTATGTGTGTGTGTGTACCAGTCACCCCAGGGTGAGGGGATTAAGTGTGAGCCAATGCAGTAAAGGTTAGCGCTTGGTCTCTCACTGAGGCCTCTATCACACACACAAATCTCTGAAAAGACGGGGAGAGAGAGGGAGAGCAGGAGAGGGAGAGGGAGAGACAGATGACATTATTATAGGCCCACAGCTCCGCTACCCGAGGGATGAGTTCTCACAAAGCTCATCAAGTCGCCAAGGAAAACTGATAAAATCACCCCACAAACCCTTAAGACACAAAATAATTGAACTAAACTGTAGATGAAAAAAATATTAAGGGAAACTTTCTTCAACATAAGCCAGGTGTTCTGATGTTGACTTTTTAAAATTATTTTTTTTCATTTTCATCATGGAGTATGTTTTGGGTTTTGTTTTGTTGAGCTCCTTTTGCATGGCAGACATTTTAGGATATTTTTGTACCTCTTCTGAGCTCTTACAAAATGGCGGACTGGAGGATTGCAACACGATGAACCACCAAGGAGGTATGAGCATGTTGTTACTGTGTGTGTGTGTGTGGTATTGTGTGTGTCGGGTTAGACTCTGAAGCATGGCTGGAAACGGGGTGCAGCAGCTGGCTGCAGCATTTCGTCAGCATTAGTCTTGCTGTGAAAATGGACGTAAAATCAGTCATTTTAATTAGAAATCGGTTGTCAGACTGAAGCCTTGTCTTCTCGTGGCTCTGCGTTTTTATTTAGGGGATATTGCTTTTTGCTATTTCCGTGTGCTGTGGATATTTCCTCTCATTTAGTCAAATCTCACTACATTACTGAAACCAATCAGAATACGCTGCTGCTAAAGCTGCACTTTCACAATGTACTTTTTCGCAAAACAATATAGTTTGTAGTTATCAATATAGATAAATGCAAGAAAATTCCTTTTCAGATATTAATAGTAGTCAAAGCTTTAACAGTCGCGCTCTACAATCACTTCTTCAGTTGATATGAATACTGTTACACCTGTAACATTTATCTTCATCTGACAGAGAAATCATACACAAAGCAAGCCAGCACATATGAGATTCATGTTTTCTCAATTGTCCAATCAGTAATCTCTTTCCACTCTTTCGTTCTGTATTATTTAGTCTTTCTAACTTTATTATTAATGTTCTCACGTCTTATTCTAAACATAGAAAAAGATTTGAGTACTGTAATCCCCATTATCTGTATATTTTAAGTTTTGCTATATGTAGTACAATATAGAAGTGTACGACCACGGGGTGGTTTTGGTCAACAGGCATGGAAGCTCCTACATTCTGTTGAAAAATGCTGTTTCCATTTTCTTACTCACTATTACTGCTTTTGCTTTGCTTTGTCTGCCAAAGCGCATTGTAAACTCTGTTTTTAAAAGTGCTACGAAAATAAAAGTATCACTCGCACTGCTCTGAAGGGTCACTATTTCTAAAAGGCGTGGGTTTGTTCTAAACATCACATATGAAGCAGGGGTTCTAAGGTTTCCCTTAGAAACTGTTAAGCATTAAAACCTTATTTTCCCGCATTCTGGTGAATTGTACGCATCAATCTATCATGAAAATGTCTTAATTTATGTAAAGGAAAACAAAATTCAGACACCAGGTGACAATTCAAAATACAATGGAACATAATGCTCTCGGGCATTCTGTATTGCTTTTATATATTTATTCTTCTGAAGATCAACCATTCCCATATAATGATATCTCTTCTGAGTCAGCATATGAAATCATTATTTACTCTTCCCTCCTCTTCTGTGTCTTTTATTTGGGAAAGTAACTTCTTTTTATGAACCCCAGCACTTTAATAGCTCACACGTGTTTCAAAATGTCTGAAGATACTAAAAAGATCCCAATTATCTGTTCTCTGGGATGTATTTAATATTATGAGAAAAAGTAAGAATAAAATAAGAATAAAATCTAGCTGGTCTGCTGTGTACTACGTTATTGCTCTGCTGATACGGTAGTTTCCCCTTCAAATGCTGACAGACACACACCATGTGGGACTCTTCAGGCTCTCCATCGGAGGTGGAGAAACTGAACACTTGTCTCAATCCCAGTCGCTGGATATTGATTGGGATACATTTTAGGCACTTGATGATTTCTATCAGGCGTGAGAGCACTAGTATACCTTCGCGAACAAACTGAAATATGATGATGACCGACCCAAACATTAAATGCTTTGAGACCTTGACATGTTTACTGCTACCAACTCTGGTTTGAAATTCAAAGTCGTGGCACGCAGCATTCTCTCTCAAATCTCCAAAACGTTCACTCTACCTGTATTGCTTTGGACTTGAATGTAGAGCCATGACCTATTTTTTCCTACTGTCTTGCATTGCAGAGATGTGACTAGCCAATCAAAGCCAACCCTGAAACAAGATGGTGTGCTGTTTTTCAAATACAAGAGACATTTTTTATCGCTCACATATGATCCTCTGGTGCGTACGTCGCCCAAGCACCTATATTCAGCCACCACCACAGGCACCGTGACTTTCAACCTCGGATTTACTTTAAGCTTGCTCAGTGGCATCACTCAGTGGCAAAACTGCAAACAAACATTCAATGACTGAAGATATAGCACAAAATGAGTGCCTGATATTCAGAGAATTTCATTC